TTTTTGGTTCATTAGGTATTACGGCTTGGTGGCGCAAGCGACCGCCTGATCTAAAGGATACAGCCATATCCATCCATCCATCCATCCATCCATCCATCCATCCATCCATCCATCCATCCATCCATCCATCCATCTGTCCTTCCGTCCGTCCGTCCGTCCGTCCGTCCGTCCGTCCGTCCATCCATCCATCTTGCAATCGTGTCTTCCACAAGCTGTGCATACCCATGAGGAAAAATATGGCATGTGGTACATCATTAAGCGCTGTTGGTAGAGGATAACGTATCCTGTGAGAATTACTCACGAAACGTTTTTAGTGCTTGTTGAAGGACATCCCAAAACAGTATGGCATCTGTGCAGCTAACAAAGGAATGTTCAATTTTTTCCGCCACATCATATAGACGGCAGTTAACAGACGGAAGGAAAATACCCTTTCTTCTTAACCATGTGTTTGCCGCCAATGTTTCCGAGTGGAGTTTATAGAATAATTTTTTCGAATTCGGTGGAATGTACGTTTGGCGCACTCGCTTCAACACATCGTGGCCTGGAAGATTGGAGTCCAGTGAGTGGTACAACCTCAAAAACAAAAACATCCACTTCAAAAGATTTACAACGAGCTAGACTTTTGACAGGACTAGTACTTCATCTTAGAGAACTGTTTGACCTCACCCCTTTTTTGTTTTCATAACAAGATGTGAAGAACTCTCCATGTGAGGAACTCGCGCTGTGTTAGCCATTGAGTGTTTATGAGTAACGGTTGAGCGTTTATTTGCGTGATTTGATTGTACTTTTGTTTGCTTGATTAGTCTTTATTGCGCAAATACTTTATTAAATAGCGATGCCAAAAATTTCGGTGTGGCGCTGTGGTTAGTGTACTCAGTTTGAAATTCGAAGGTGCCAGGTTCGATTACACGCTGGTGCACCTTTTTTTACAGGTACTTGATACATTCTTTTTTATACAATTATTTTTATTAATTCTTTATTGGCAGCTAGTCACGGTGGTTCTGACGCTGCTTCGTGCTCCATTGCCGGCTGGAGCACGCCATCCACCAACCGCTCCACCATACGCCACCATACACAATGTGCCACCATTTCCACCGCCATAATCCTCCAAAATGGTGATTGGTGGAATCCACCATTCCTATGGTGGACGTTTTTTCAATAGGGATGGAAGCTTGAAAATATGAAAAATCTGTTACCCTGGGGTGTCAGAGAAATGGTTTCGACAAGCAGTCTTGTCTCCCGCGAGGCTACAATATCGTGTCTTTAAACCACTGAAAGCCAGAATGAATCTAAATTTGCCCATTACTGAACGACTCACGATCACTTCATAATTGTCATCTGAATTGTCAAAAATTATTAATTGCAAAGTGAACGCCCCCGCAGTGAGGGGCATTAACAGGCTTTCCGACATTTAGTTGTGCCTTGTGACAGTTTACGAACATCACCCAGAACTATTTCGTCTCAACTGTGTTTAGCTAATACAAGCTTACAAAAAGGTGTGCCAAAGCTTATAAGGCTGCCCTCAATTGATTTAGCTTTGCACATATGTTCAATGGGCTCCTAAAGTAGAAAATTATAAAGGTGATGACCACTTGCAGCACAGCTTCTTCAAAGACGTGGATGCTGCCCTGACGAGCAAGATTGTGTTCATTGGATAAGGTACTGTTTTTTAATATAGCAGAGAAACGTCCCAGATTTTTCTGAGCACATCTGCTTTTGTTCAAATTACTTGTAACTACAGTGTCTACCATTACGATGTGAAATTTTGTGCACTACGGTCATAAAAATCTAGGAAATCACTCAGGTGATTGAAACATGCATGATCTTGATTATCCACAGTCACACTGCAAGATAGTACGTGTTTCAAGTCCTAACCACTGAAAATAGCATAGAGAAAACTACTTCAGCTTTCAAGCAGAAGTATACTGAAAAAGTAAAAGCAATAACAAGTGTGTAATAAATGTGACCTTCAGTGATCCAGTATTCCGACAGATTCACATCATGTACCACCAGTTGATTTCAGGAGTGCTTGCTTGCAAGATAGTGCTCAAGTTCTATAGATATTTCTATATGTCTATAGATATGTCAAGTTCTATAGATATGTCTTTGCTCAAGTTCTAAAGATATGTCTGAGCAAAGGAATTGTGCTCAGAGCTGAGCAGAGGTGTACTGTAAGAGCACCAACAAAGTCGTACAAACAACAAAATTGTACAAAGCATGCCTAAAGCTTATTTTCTTAGATTCGGGCCTTTTCGATCTGTAAGCACACACCTCATTAGTATTCCTTTAGCATACATGTTCGCTGCATACTCAGCAGACCAGTCATTATGTGCGACGAGAAATTCTAGCTGTAGTAACTGTGTAACTTAACTCTAACAATAAATGTAGCAAGCCTGAAATATTTTTAGGCCCATCATCTAAATACCTATTACCTATGATATGGGCTCACGGCTGAGAATGAAAACTAGGGCCTACCCTGTCGATACGACACGACATTGCATAATTGTGAAGTACTCAATGTAGCATTGAAGAGCGAGAAAGATTCAGAACTGCACGCATCCGCAATTGTTTCTTTAAACAAATTTAGCAAAAACTACATTTCTCTCACTGCGCGAGCTATCTATCGGCAACGTGCAAGTTTTCTTCCCGATTCCACAACATGCATTCACTTCACTTCAAGATGAACACTGCATGGCAAACGCCGCATCTGACGGTATAATCGGACCCTTGTCCTTAACCCATGCTATTTAACTCGAATGCCGCAACATAATTATACGTTCATTCAGCGATCTAAATTTTCAATTTTATGCATATGCTTGTTAGCTTTCAAGAGTCTTTACACATGTGTTAAAAGCTTTCGATATATATGAGTGACTTGTTTTGTTCGGACGCGACCGTATATATTTGTGCCAGCTTGAACACTCCCAATAAGCGATGTAAACCTTTTTTGATTGACGTTGTTCTTGCCAGCCGAAGTCACCTAGGTCACCTGGTGATAATTACAGACGCGAAGCGCGATTTAGTAACAAAAAAACAGAGAAAGCGAGTAACGCGAACCAGCCGCGAGCCCCCCATCTGCAACAAAAAATGCGTCTGTTTATTGATGATGATGTACTACTACCAGCGCCATATCGCCTCCCGGTATTGCAGTTCTGTACGTTGCCGCTACGTATTTGCATGTTATTTTGCTACAACAGCCCAAAGGTACAGTTTCCGTTCTCGGAACTGGTAGCTGTTCTGTGACAAGAAGACGGCAGTGGAGGGACATGACCATGCAACCATTGGAGACGAAAATTAGTAGCGTTGATAGCGCCGTCTGGATTGAGGCGGCAGTTGTACAAATGTTAAAAAATATTGTTCTACTGACAACTGAACAAGTTTTTATTATCTTCTGTACTCAATTAGCTTTTCTGAACAAATAACTAATAGTAATGTTTGTATAATTTAAATGAAGAAATAAACAAAATGGGTTTAAAGCACAGCATTGTTCTAATATCGTTGCTGGCCGTTCGCATAGCAGACGACACCGTCATCGTCTTCTTCTGCGTCATGGCTGTCCCCTGCTCGTTGGAGCAGCTCCCTGTCTCAATTTTTCTCGTTTACTTACAGTACAATGCAGTAAACTACTTACTTGTAGCTCACAACTATCTTGCATACACTGTAAGCAAAAGTTATCCGAGATTGAAGTTTGTCCAGCACATGAGCCCACAAAACTTCCTGCCCCGATTATTGTGCCGAGTAAACTCCCCTGGTGGCGAGTGTACTCGGCACATGTGTTCTAAAACGCCCCCCCCCTTCCTAAGGACAGAATTTATGAACAACATGACCATGTTAAGCTCCCCAGAGAGTTTCAGGTCACGTGGTTGCAAACTTCCTATGGGAGTTTGAATAACCCTTTTTGGACGGGACGTGTGTGTGTGTGTGCGTGCGTGCGTGCGTGCGTGCGTGCGTGTGTGTGTGTGTGTGTGTGTGTGTGTGTGTGTGTGTGTGTGTGTGTGTGTGTGTGTGTGTGTGTGTGTGTGTGTGTGTGGGCATATATTTGCACGAGGGTGGCGGACCATGTAGGCATCTGTCGACAGGCAACAAAATTATAAGTGCAGCGAAGAATTGCAATGATTGGTTGGTTTTTACTGTGAGCATTTCACTATATATCCGCGTGCATAGCTGCGTCTAGCTGCGAGACAACGACGACAACGAAGATCGCGAATTTGATCGAGAGGTGCCACGCAGGCCAGTGAGGAAGACGACAATCTTAGCGGCCTTCTTTTGAGAGCGTCACATCATCAAGGATCTTGACTTGACTTGAGAGCGTCTCTACGAGTTGCACTGTCCATGTTTTTTTTTTAACTAAACCCTCTGTATTTTATAATCCGTGGCACTGGTGGACGGGCTGAGTACTACCACCTCATGATGGGCATCCTTGTGAGAAGCCCTGAGTCAAGCCCTACGAGACAGCCAGGCGCGGAGACGCCTGTGCACTGCTCAAGCCGTCGCCTTAAAAGTCTTGAACCAGAATTTGGCCTTTTAGAAGGAGCAACACTTCCGACAGCCACCCCTACTCAAGAAATGGCATTTTCGAGAGTCTTCACTGGTGACGGTCCAGAATATGCGCATTCTTGAACAATTTTATGGCCAGCGCAACGAAGATGCGCAAGACTGGCTTGAGCAGTTTGAACGGGTAGGTAAATCAAACTACTGCAGTCTCTATGAAAACTATTCCACGTATATTTCGCCCTTGAAGACGGCGCGAAGACGTGGTTTATAAACCGCGAAGCAACATCGACGACATGGGAGGAGTTTTGTCGTAGGTTTCTTGACCCCTTTGGTAACGCGGACCGACGCGAAAACGCACAACGCCTTCTCGCAGGACGCACCCAACAGCCGCATGAAAACATCGCCATGTTTGCTGAGAATATGGTGCGTTTGTGCCACCGCGCGGACCCCAACGTTCCCAAGGCTCAAAAGCTAAGCCATCTCATAAAAGCGTCAAAGAGCAGCTGTTTATTTATTTATTTATTTATTAAAGGTACTTTCAAGGCCCGAAGGCACTACAGAAAGGAGTGGTTTGAACAATCGTAAGTGCAGTTAAAAAGTTAAAAAAAAAAAAAAAAAAAAAAACAGAAAACAGGAAAAAAAAGAAAAATTCTACAGGGCATCATGTATGGCGAGCTTGAAGTCTTTTTGGTCCGTTATACAGGCGATGGAGGCGGGAAGGTGGTTCCAGGCGGCGCTTGTCCTTGGCACGAATGAATCATTATATAGTCTGGTGCGACAGGATGGTAGGCCCACCTTAAAGCGATGATCCATCCTTGGTGATATGAAGCGAGGTGGATGAAACAGGGCGTCCTTCAAATGGCTGTTATAATGATAGATTTTGTGAAAAAGGTTAAGGCGAGACAATGTGCGGCGCAATGAAAGATCAGGCAAGTTTAGGGTGCTCTTCATGGATGTGACACTGGAATGACGTGAATAATTCGATAAAATGAAACGTGCTGCGCGATTCTGAGTGGTTTCGAGAGATTGAATGAGAATGGCATGAGTTGGGTCCCATATGGCGCATGCGTACTCTAATTTTGGTCTGACCAATGTTTTATACAGTGTTAACTTGAGTGACGATGGCGCAGAGGAAAAGTTACGGCGCAGATAACCAAGCATGCGGTTAGCGTTGTTAATCACATATTCTGTGTGTTTATTCCAGGAAAGATTAGAAGATATGTGAACACCAAGGTATTTGTAATTGTCAACAGATGGTAATGGAATGTTATTGAGGGAATAAGTACGCGGACAGTGGGTGGTAGTGCGACGTGAAACTTGCATGCTCTTGCATTTAGATATGTTAAGTGTCATGAACCATGTGTTACACCATGCGAATATGCTATCTAGGTCGCGTTGAAGGTTAAGGTGATCGACATGACTGGTTATTTTCTGGTAGAGGACGCAGTCGTCTGCAAAGAGTCGGACAGTAGAAGAAGAAACACAAGAAGGAAGATCATTAATGTAAATTAAGAAAAGGAGTGGCCCTAAAACGGACCCTTGCGGTACACCAGATGATACTGCGGAATTAGGTGAACAAAATTTATTAGCTGTCACGTACTGGCTGCGGTTAGAGAGGAATTCTTTAATCCATGTAAGTACATTGGGGTCGATGTTAAGCTGAGTAAGTTTGAAAATGATTAGTGCGTGTGAAACGGAGTCAAATGCTTTAGCGAAATCTAAGTATATGCAGTCAGTATCAAATTCAAGATCTGCGTTAATAAACAAGTCGTTAGTAAAACACAGCAACTGTGTTTCGCATGAAACTGTCTTACGGAAGCCATGCTGATAAATGCTAAAGAAGGAATTAGATTCAAGGAATTCAATGAGGTGCGAGTATATGACATGCTCTAAGATTTTCACTGGAATGGATGTTAACGATATGGGACGGTAGTTATTGGGGGAATGTACATCACCAGATTTATGCACAGGGACCACCTTCCCAGTCTTCCAGTCAGATGGCAGTGTGGACGTCTGTAATGACTGTTCAAAAAGTTTTGACAATATTAAAGAAGAATAGACTTGAGTACACTTCAACATTTTTGACGAAATGCAATCTGGACCAGCTGATGATGACACTGTCAAGTTTCCAACAAGTTTTTCGACACCAACTGCATCAATGATAATAGGGTCCATTGGCAAGAAATCGGTGCTTGTTAACTGTGGAAATATAGTTGGGATGCTGTTCTGAAAGTGTGCAGCAAATACATTACTCAGAACGTTGCAGCACTCGCTAAGAGCGACTGGGACATCAGACTGTATTAATTGGATATGTCGCGTTGTAGTTCCGCTAATGATGCTCCAAAACTTACGTGGATTAGAGCGCAGCAGCGAAGGAAGAGTTTCATCGAAAATACTTTTTTGGCTTTCGAAAGCGCAGTACAGAATTCTCTGTTAAATGTCTGATAAAAGACCAATGGTCTGTTCTGGCTGTTGATTTGGCGCGTCTGAATAGCCGCTTCTTTTTATTGCGCATGCGTTTCAACGTGTTATTGAACCACGGAGAACGAGGATTCGATGAAACTTTTCTCTTAGGTACAAATCGGTCAATTAGGGCTAGCAGTTTGTTCTTATAGTCTAGCCAGTTCTGTTCAACAGATCGCTGCTCAAAACCAGCAAAGAATAGGTCAACAAAAGATTGTAACTCTGTATTCATTCCATGAAAGTCCGCTTTGCTATAGTCTTGGATAATTTTTGTTCTTTTCTTGATGGAAACCCGTGCTTTTATTGTGAAGTGGATTATGCAATGGTCGCTAATTCCCGGTAGATGAGTGAAGGGTGAAGCTAGGTCAGGTGTACTGGTAAGTACTAGATCTAATACGCTAGCGGAAGTGGGAGTAACGCGAGTAGGAAAGTCAACAAGCTGGGTAAAGTTGAAGTCGTGACAAAAATTCAAAAATTCCCTACTTTCACCTGAGTTGTGCTTTAAGGTAACCGGGTCTCTTTCCCACATGATGTCGGGAAAGTTGAAATCGCCAAGAATGAACAAAGGTGATCTCGGGTATCTGACGAACAGCTGATTGACAACATCATGCAAGTCATTGCAAAAGGATGATGATGCAGTTGGTGATCGATAGCAAATACAAAATATTATTTCGCGAGAATCAATGAGCACGCGGACACAAACAAGTTCAAGTGAAGACATAACAGGAATAATATGAGAGGCAAGATTATCGGCAACCGCCAGCAGAACACCCCCACCAGACCGGTAATCGCGGTCGCATCGGTAAAATTTGTAGTGCCTCTCACAATCCAATATTTCTTCATTTCTTACTTTTGTAGAAAGCCAAGTCTCTGTCAGACCAACAATATCAGCGGAACAGGAATCAATAGCAGAAGACAGTTCGACGCGTTTATTCAGGACGCTGCGCACATTAGAAAAGAAAAAAGAAGCGTTTCCTGCGCAGCAACGAGACGGGCGTAGCTATGAGGTGCTAGAAGTGTCAGCACGTGCAGGTAGAGAGGGTTCTTTGTCCTTAGCTTGGGGTGAATTGATTTCGCGAACGCTGTCGCTTTCTGCGCAGTAAACGTAAGTTTTCTTGTTCATAACCAGTTTGTTAACGCGTAGCAAATACGGTTGCCCGGCTGCCTTAGCAAATTCCATTAATTTCTTCCTTGAATTTCGCGTGCTTTTGCAAAAATCTTCGCTAGCTGATACACCAGTTCCTTTGAATTTTTGTCTCTGCATCAGGATAGCATCTCTAACCTTAAATGACGAAAATTTGACGATAATTGGCCGAGCTTTTTTAGCGGCGTAACTTCCTAACCTATGTGCTCGGGAAACTTCGGAGTCAGAAATGTGCATGTCAAGGTGTCGGGAGAGTAGATCACGAACATGGCCTTCAGACTGAGCCCACGTCTCATTAGGGCTGTCCGATATACCAAAAACAATACGTTCTCTCGTCTGGACCTGTCTTCAAGATCGTCCAGTCGGGCACTGAGTGTCTGGCCTTGCACCTTGACAGTTTCAGCGATTAGACGTGGCACATCACTGACTACTGCAGAACCGTCGCATGACTCGACGAAAGCTTCCACCGCCGACAACCTTTCCGTTAAATCAGCAACAGTTTGCGCTAATGCCTCCTGTTTAGTCTTTAGGTCGGCAAGAGCTTCCATTAGCTCATCGTGACGGTGATCACCTTTTTCAGATAGCTTAGCGATCGCGTCTAGTATTTCTTTGTTAGTATTTGCAGGGCCAGGGTTTAGTTCAACGTCTCCACAGCATAGTAGAAGCTTTGTGACATGCACGCATTCGCACACACATTCAAATATGACACTTGGGCACGGTAGGAGCAGCAGACAGACGTTACTGGTTCGCTTACAGTAGAGAGAAGGAGGTTTACTGACCTGCACAAAAAGCAAAATCGGATTTCTGAGCGACCGCATCGTTGCCGCTCCACCGTGCCCACTGAAGGAACAGGAGAATTCCGTGGTCTTTATATGCTCTTGCGTCGCTGCAGTCGCCCGCAGTGTTGTGGACCAGGTGACGATGGAAAGGATGCCACCGTCAGATAGTGGCAGATGACGCAGGGGCGTGTTCATCCAGATCGGGGCCGCCAGCAACACCGGTAAAGAGTAGTTGGCACGCGCTGGATTCGCACGCGATGGTAATGTTCCAAACCAGGCGACTAACTGCACAAAAAGCAAAATCGGATTTCTGAGCGACCGCATCGTTGCCGCTCCACCGTGCCCACCGTGACCGCATCGTTGCCGCTCCACCGTGTTAGTTGGTCTTGTGGGCAATCTTGTGGGCAATCCGCCAACAGTGGACGAGTTCACCAGGGTGGCCACCGCATCAGAGCGTGCGCTGCAGCAAAGGTACCGACAGTCGGATCACCCGGCCACCGGCGCAGCTGCCGGCGCCACAGCACTTACCGCAAACGACGAGTTTTCTCTACGCCACCTGATTCAACAGATTGTGCATGAGGAGGTTGCGAAGGAGAACGCAAAGTACACATTGAAGTCACAGGCACCCCCGCAGCAGGAGGCCACGGTAGCCTCCCTCGCTGAAGTCGTTCGCCTTGAACTTCGACAAGCGTTTACCTCTCCTCAGCAATATTCCGCTCCACCGTACCATTCAATGGAGACGCTGTTCGTCGACTCACGCCCATGCCGGCGCCGCAGTACCTCGAACCGTATCCTGTGGGAGCCTGGGCTCAGCAGGATTGTGTCAGGTTGTGTCATACTCGGAAGACGGACATATGGCACACTGCGGATCGCCGGCCACTCTGCTACAGCTGTAGAGAGCCATGGAACAGTTACCGTTTTTGCCCTCTTCACCCACCTGAATACCACGGAAGTGCACCTACCGCTACGCGCTGACAGTTCGGCGAAATCCGTGCCTCCATTGACGACGAGCAGGCTTGCCGGCTGGAAGACCCTGCTACCTTCCAGACGCTCTCACCAACCCCGGCTCGTTTTGGTTCACCAAGCCGCCGTAGTTTTGCTGACGCCGTCAGAGGTCGGTCTCCCAGCCCACGGCAGGGAATTGAAAGCAGCGACCTCTGAGTGGAAGGTTGCAAGCCATTGGATTGCCGAAAATCTCCCACTGCTGCCGCAAAATGTGAGAGACGACGATGAAGACTCCACCGAGAAAAAGAAAACTGCGACTGCCGATCTCGTCGTGACGATTGATGGCGTTGAAGTGACGGCCTTAGTCGACACAGGTGTACACTTTCACATAATGATGAACGATTAGCAGCCGAACTCAAGAAAGTCAAGACGGAATTGACGCGCCCTTATATCCAAAATGCTGGAGGCCAGATGATGACACCAACGGGAAAATGTGCAGCAAGATTCACGTTTGAGAATGTGGATTTTGTAGCCACATTTCTTATCTCACCCGAGTGCTGCAAACCTATGATACTGGGAGTGGACTTCTTAAGAGAGTACGGTGCTGTAGTCAACATATGTGATGATGTGATTACATTCGCCGCTGACAAGCCTGTGACCCATGGTCCAGACCAAGAGCCCAAGGTGGTGTGTTCGACGATGACGTCTGCGTGCCACCGCTGTCATGTAGTCTTGTTTCCGTGTGTTGCGGCGTGCACTATAATGACGACGCCATAGCCGAACGCATCACTACCCTTCTTTTTCGCCAAGGAATCACCATCGCTCACGGCATCGTCAGCTTAGTGGATGGGCGTGCAGAGATGCTTCTGACCAACATCATGAATAAGCGCCGGCACATCGGTAAAGGCACGGCTGTGGCGTACCTGGAGGAGCTCGATTCATCTCAGGACTGTCTTCTTATGCAAAGGGAAGGCACAGCCCAATAACCTCCACATACACCACCAGTCGATATCGTTCCGAGTCTAACAACGACTGAAAGATGCCGTCTTAGGGAGCTGTTAAACCCGTTCAAAGACTGCTTTTCGTCGACATCTCGAGTGGGTCGAACGCCTCTGACTAAGCATCGCATTATTACGGAAGACACAGCAAGACCGATTCGACAGAACCCATATCGCGTCGCTCAGAAAGAACGTTAGGTAATCCAACAGCAAGTCATGAAGATGCCAGAGAATGATGTAGTCCAACCATCAAAGAGTCCTTGGGCATCGCCAGTTGTACTTGTGAAAAAGAACGATGGCAGTTTGCGTTTCTGCGTCGATTATCGTAAGCTGAACCACGTTGCGAAAAAAGACGTTTATCCGTTACAACGGATCGATGACTCTTTAAACAGGCTATGGCATGCGCGCTACTTCTCGTCAATAGACCTTAAAAGTGGATACTGGCCAATAGAAGTAGATGAGCGCCAGGGCAAACGGCCGCCAGGGCATCATTAGCGTGGCATGTAGTCATGTTGTTACATGACATGCAACTAATGATTACCATGTCTGCATCGGTCACATACCTTCGTCATCCGTTCACGTACCGTAATACCGCATTTCATAAATGTCCCACTAGCGAAACGGACGCAAGCGCATCATGAGCGTGGCATGTAGTCATGTTGTTACATGACAGGCATGTCATGATTTTTATGTTAGGGTCTGTCACTTGTGTTCGCATGCAATCATGTCATACCATACCAGTTTTGCAACATGACATGTGAACGAAACCACTGCAAGAGCTGCAGGACCATGAAATGTAAATCATGACATTCAAAACAAACATGTGTTGATTTTCATGTCATAACTAGTCAAATATGTTTTTATACAGCCATGTTATTGCATACCAAGTTTGTTATTGATAGCATTATCGGAACGGCCTGCAAAACTAAAAGTCGTAGGCGGCTAGATAGATAGATAGATAGATAGATAGATAGATAGATAGATAGATAGATAGATAGATAGATAGATAGATAGATAGATAGATAGATAGATAGATAGATAGAT